AAATCTTTTTACAAGCCATGACTCAGTTTCCTTGGTAACACCTGAGGTTTTGACTAATACCTGGAAGAATCATGCAATGTTAACATTGTTGTCTACGCCAGTAAATAGGACGAACCTTAAACACGACTTGGCAACAGGAGATATTTCTAGTTCTCTCCAGTCATAGAATCAAAATCACTCTATTGGCTAGGTATGTGCACACATAAACGGAATTTGACTCTGGTTTTATGTTGCTCTCAATGTACAAACACAGACTAAGCATGAATAAACAGGACTTAACAAAATAGACAAAAAACTACTATGTACTATAAGCACTTTGGCTCAGCTACAAGCCAGAGAGCTAACATTATGCTAGCAATATTTCAAGTCAATAACACTGTGTACGGTCGACATACAAACAGTAAATGTAATTTAACAGTATGTTTAACAACAAAACAAGCTAGCTATCAGCCATTTCACTGTCCCCAAATCAATATCAGGATTTTCACCAACTATGATAGGGCATGTGTACTAACAGAAGGTTGTGGTTGGTTAATAAAAAACAGAAGCAAACATGAAAGTCAGACGTGCCCCACCGCCTTACTAAAGAAAAGATGCACTACTTTGAGCATTGGCACCGAAGGTTAGCTTCAGATGAATTGTCAGAAGGTTTATCCTGTGACTGTAGGAGTGTTAACTCATCTTACTGGCTCATAACTTTAATGTTCCTTTTATGGTTTGATTTGCTTTTTCGGTCTCCCCTCTCAAGCATTGTCAGGGTGGAAGACGACGGTAAAAAAAAGAAAAAAAGCTTAGATAGCAACGATTGGGACTCTGCCACAGTCAAATCCTCTGCCAATGGACTGTAGCATCAACAAGCCCACCAGCTGTAACTCCAAGATGAGCCTGCTATTTAGGGCACTTTCAGAACCACAGTCTGTCATGTTCCCTTTGTTTTAAATAACCAATTTAATGTGTAAATACAGGACAACTCCGTTCTGTATCTACACCTTAGATTGGTTCAAATTTAGGAAAGCTCCAAATTTAAATATATACCAAAAAACACAAGATCTGATAAGAAATGGGTTATAGAGTGCTGCAGGAATTATTCTTAAAACCCGGAAATTAGTTACCTCCAGTTCCCTCTCCTCGAAGTCAATGGGTTTTTTGTTAGATGAAATAAGGTCTGTGGTTAACACAATCTTCACATTTTATTCAATGACAATATTTCAGTAAATACCCCACCTGTGAATTTTAAAGCTTTTATGGCAGTTGCTAACAAGCGGCTGCATGAGAGGTTGTCGGTAAACATTAAAACACAGAAACTTCTACTCACTAGTCCACCTTTACAGCCTCATTCGATAGGATTTTCTTGCTGAACAAAACAAACCTTTGTTCCCTACAGAGCTTATTTTTTGCAACAATCTAAAATCGAATGGAAAAATCCCAGAAGGAACCAGGGCGATGCTAACTTGTTTGCATAAAACAACTTATTGAACACTTTTTGTTATTTCCTTCTATCATTGTCAATGCACTCACTGAAGCCAAGCAGCTCACTTTCATTACGCGTCAAATTGAGTGGTTCAGATAAAGCAAACCTTTCTTATAACCTGACTGCTTATGTTTGTTACCACATGAAACCCCCTGTATTTCAAATAATGTTGTCCTTTTCTGAAATCTCAGCGTATCATAACCAATAGAACTGATGGCCAAATCTATAGAAATAAAACTAAGTTTGTACAGTAATAAACTACAGTTTTCCTTTAAAGTTTGCATGTTTGCTTGGAAATGTACAAAGAAACATCCTCAAGAAAGTCGTGATCAGTGTGGCAGATGATCAACCAGAAAAATAACTGATCCAAACTGCTCAAAACAACTAGGTGTAAAATAACCCTAAGACTCATCAGAAAGCTAAAGCAGTGCCATTTTGTAGCTTGAATAAGGCCATGCTATCATTAATTCAATAAGGTCACTGCTTCGGCACAGCGGGGGTCATGATGCTGAGAGCTCCAGTGAAAAAACGCAAGGTCACTGGGCAACAGCAAGTACACATGCTGGTAGATAACTGTGCAAGTCAGAGGCACACTCAAGATAAGTGACTGATATCCATGTTTCAAATGATAATTGTTGATTGTTTATTTTATGTCTTGTTGATTGTTGATTGTCTATTTTATGTCTGTTGATTTGTTTATTTATGGTTTGTTTAAATTGTAGATTGTTTATTTTATATCTTCTATTTTTCTATTTTTTTTATTGCCATGTTTGCACCGGGGGTCCGAGAGGACTGAAATTTCATTTGTGCTGTATGGTCGTCGCATGTTAGCACATCTGACAATAAAGTTAACTTGACTTGACTTGACTGATAATAATGATAGTGAGTCTGCAGTGCTGCACATTTTCAGTGAGATTTAAAAAGTACATTGGGTGAAATTACAGGCTACAGTGAATATTGCCCTCCTCCTTGGTGACCCTCCAGCTAGTGGTGCCATGGGTGACTGCGAATGTTGCCTTACAAATGGCATTGTGATATGTTTCGTAGTTTGAGTCTGAATGCCTGCTAATACTTCCTATGTCTTTTTTAATGCAATGAATAGCTGTGAATGTGTCCGGATTGTTGCAGACGACACAGACAATCGGAGGTCAATGAGGAGCTGAGGGTGGTTTTCATGGTGACGTAATGACTCTTCATGAGTCATGAATGTTGTGCTTTGTCGAACTACTGTGTCACACTACAGCCTCTCTAAAGACTCCATAGCACAGCCATCCAATTAACACAGGCTGCCGGCTGCTTCCTGAGAGCCATTTTCGCTTTCCTGTTTAATAAAGACAAACGTGCACACACACACACACACACACACACACATTTTATCACCTTCATTGACCCTGGAGACAGATGTTTCTCACTGTGATTGGTATTGATAGCAGCTGTTTGTGAGTGTTGTAGGATCAATGCAGTCAATACTCAGTCTTCAGGAATTCTTTACTCCTTATTAGGGTTGCAACCCTGAGGGGGCTGAACCCTGTTGAGTTTGTACTGGTTTTTTATTATTATTATTTGTTGTCTTCTGCTGTTGCTCAATTTGCCATAAGCTCAAATGAGATAGAGACATAAAACATGGCCCAGAAATATTGTATAAATGCTTTACAAGAAGTATGATCCCATGATGGTGGCGCTATAATTAACAGCCAAAAAATTAAAACTGTATGACCCAGCACACATCACACCAATTGACTTGAAATGTTATACATATACAACCAACAATACAATCTAGTTGGAACAAAATCAAACTAGCTGAAGTGACTTAGCTCAGCTTTGTGAAGTTTTTCTGTTGACCACAGAAAGGTTTGAACCTGGAATCAACTTATAGCTGTACTTTTGTTTAATGCACAAACAAGGGAATGAAAACTGCTTCCTGGAAATTAATTTAATAGGTAATGGCGATATGTTGGACTAGTAGACTTTTCTTTTTCTATGCTATAAAGTAAATCATTAGAATATATATATATATACATATATATATATATTTGGCCTTTTATTGCCTTTTTTTTCTCAATAGAGACAGCTGAAGATAGACAGAACAGAGAGGGGGGATGACACGCAGCAAAAGGCCACAGGTCGGATTAGATCCTTGGGCCGTTGCAGCCACTCCGTACATGGGTCGCCAGCTCTACCGACTGCGCTAACCGGGCACCCTAGAATATATTTTTTAAAAACAAGAATATATTGAATTGACTAAGTTGTATTATATCTGTAATAAACTTATGAACAGCTTGTATACAGCAGTGGTTCTCAAACTGGTTTTCATTGATTTACCCCCTTTGAAATATTTTTCAGCTAACGAACCCCTGACCAGCGAAAAACATTTTGGGTAAAAAGAAAGCCTATATAAAGAGGTACAAATACAGTGGTGCTGGCCATCAGTTTCTGATTTATTAAGAAAAAACACTTAAATGCTACATTTCAGTAATTTAGACCATCACTAAAACACTTTTTGTCATCATGCAATAACAAAACAGTGGAGTTGCTTTGAACTGCAAGTTGCACTTACAGTTTAGTGAAAAACACGAGCTTCACTGAGGATCTTTATCATGTCTGTGGCAGGGAGGCAACTGCAGTTTAACAGTTTACAGTTAACAATTGTATGGAAAATAGGAATATTGTACATAAAGTGTGGTTTCCCAAACTTACATACACATTTTTTATTAAACTTATAGTATAATTATTTTTGCAATTATGCATTACTTATACTATTTTTATAAGTATTCATTAATAAATGAATTAATAGATTATTCATAAATTAACCTTTTCTGCAGTACCCCAAAGTACCCCTAGGGGTACCCCCATTTAAGAAAGACTGCACAAATGTAAAGAGATCAGGTTATTTTAGCATTAAATGATTATAAATGATTATTATATTTATATATTTGAGAGTCAAATTTTATACAGGATTGTGTATAGTCATTGCTCTCCTTACAGGTTATGCAAAAAGCAGAATGAAATATAGTGCCTTCTGGGCCATAGTGGAATACATAAAAACAGGGAATCTATAAAAAGCCATTTAAAAGCCTTTTAAGTATATTTGCAAATTGACATCTGTAAGGACAACCTTTAAAATTATGGTATGTCTCACACGTTCCTTAGAGCAGGCCAGGTTTAGACCTCCAACCTCCAACTCCAACTGCCTCCAACTGTCTCACCAATCTGCATTGGAACATTTTATTGTCTCTCCCCAGGCATTCACATCAGCGGTCTGATGATATTGAAAATTTAAAAATAAACCCTGTGCTCTGTAAAACATCCTGTGCTCCTTGTCTTACAGATTACCTGTTACTGAGAGCTGTAAAGTAGAAAAAGTCTCAGACATAAGCCCTGCTAGAATGAGTAACTGCCTTTTTGGCCTAAAATAAAGCAAACAACTGAGCCGTTTTTCTAAAGTTGAGGCTCACAAGGTTGTAGAAAGTGAAACGCTACAAACTTCCCTGATGACCTTTCTGTTCTCTAATCCTCTCTCCACTTCCAGGCAGAGCGGGAGCGCCAATACGAGCTCCCCCAGGCCCACCGCCCCCCAAAACCGCCGAAGGAGTCCTACCTGATCGAACAGGTTTTCTCACCACACCCCTTCACCCCCTCCATGAAGGCCCATGTGAAAGGCAGCCCTCTGTACACGGACCTGAGGCTCACCAGTCTGTCAGATGGCAAACGTGGCCAGCCATCCTGGACCATTGAGGAGTACAAACGCAACTCAGGAGAGAAGGGAAAGCAGCTCACAGCTCTGGACCTGCAGGTACGGGACTCTGCAGACTTTCAAAACAATATTCCCTTGTCTTCCCTTTATTGGGTGGATTATTACAGGGTTCTCTGAGCCTTCAGGAGGAGTTATAATAAACTTATTTGCTTAAAAACGTAACAGCATTTCAGTTGAGATGCTCTGACCTGGCTCTTAAAAAGGTGATACCTAAGCAGTGCTGTTAGTCAAGACCACTTTAAGGATACATAAAAAAAAATTTTAAACAATATATGTAGAGATGTACCGTCAAATGTCAAATTAAGTTCGAAGTTACTTTTTAGTACAAAAGAATTAAAAAACAAATGTGAACAGGAAAAATAATTGCAGCAGGCAATACCTGTTTCAGTGTTCATATGGTCACCAATTGCTTTAGGACAGACTTGGAAAAAATATGAACCTATTCTTTAAGTTTACGAGTCTGTCCCAAAAAATGCAAATGTCCATGACAAGATGTCATTATACATATACATCAAGATCACAGATGACAGGTTAATATCAGATTTAGGACTTGGACTTAAGTAAGACTTAAAGGTTAGGTTGTCTGTTATAAATAAATAGGTAGCTGCCCTTTTAGTCTTGAGAACTAAAATCATCGATAAGTGATGAAACATCAAGCCTAAAAGAGCATGCCCAGTTCCCTTTGGCATCTCTACAAATCTTAATTTCTTACCCATATGTGACTCACATCTGTTTTTTCTGATGATCGTATGAACAGCACAAATCGCTTGGAATCTGATCTTTTCCAATTCTGATTTAGGCCTCTTTCAAGCAAAAACAGAATACAGAGATTAAGGAAAAAAATGCTTTTACCCCGGCGTAGGAAGGTCTAAATCAGATGATGGGCAGGGAGGTAAAGCAGAAACATATCCCTCTGTCCCACCTTTCTTCATCCTTTGCTAATGACTTAAACTTCTATAGTTGATTTGATAAGATAAACTAACACTCACAGAACAGGCCTCAAGGTTGTATTAAGCCCAACAAAACCCCAGGGCCTGATGACCTTAGATGTAGAATGTGAAAAGATTGTACCCATCAATTAAAAGGAGTTCTGACTGAGCTATTTTCGCTCCTGCTTGAGACAGTACCCAAATTATGGGGAAAATATGGATTTTGGGCCCATTGAACTCGCTTCATGTAAATGTATGGAGAGAGTTCTAAGCAGAGACATAAAATCTTGTGCATCTAGCTGCTTAGACCATCTAAAAGTGACACAGATGATTCAATTGTAACTTTGTATAATACCCAAACCATCTACAAGTCTCCACTCATTATGCCAGAGTTCCTTTTATTGAAAGTATCTGCATTTAACACCATGCAAATAAATACTCATCCACTAAAGCTCTTGGATCTAGGGGTTAATGGAGGCATCATTCACTGGATCAGAAACTTCCTCTCTGACCACCCTCAAAGAGTGACTGTTGGCAGTAGTGTGTCAGAATGGGTTGTGTTGAATACAGGAGCACCACATGGTATAATTTTATTACCACTGCTTTTCTCTGTGTACACAAATGAATTCAATATTGCTTACGCTAATTTCAGTTTATTTAAGTATGCAGATGGTATGATTCTGGTTGTTTCAGAAAAGGGATACAAGGGCTGTTATTTTTTCCAAAAATCTCAAATTTCAAGTGACACGCAATTAATTCGAAAAAAGAAATCTGTAGACATATAGTACAAATGTATGATACCCCTCAGAAAGACACTGACATACGTACATTGACAGCAGTCTTACCTTCAAGGAAAAGACTGACCTAATTTTCAAGAAATGGTCACAACCCCTCCACTTTGACATGCAAGCTCAAGAATTTTGGAGCCAGAATATTCTGGAAACTGTAAGAGCCGAGCAGAAAGCATTCTATCCTTTAATATAATCAGGTGGTCTGGTAATATGAACATTGAGAAGAGGAATAAGCTGCTGAAAACAGTGAACATGACCTCCTAAATCATAGGGAAGCAACAAAAGAAAGTGCTGCTGACAGCATTATTTTTTATTTTTTCCATGGCTTTTGCTTTTTTTTAAATTATTGATATTTTGACAGGACAACAGATCATCAATATCTCACATTTATAAAAATATGTTTACTGCCCCCTCTTTTTCTGTGACAGCTGACAGAATTATTAACAACCCTTCTCACCCACTGTGCAGTGAATTTGCTCTTTTCTGTCAGGGAGCTGTTATAGATTACCGATTGCTAATAGAAATATCAACAAGAAATCCTTCGTCCCGAATACTGTCAAGTAGGATCCAGTAGATGAGGACCAGGAGTGGTGCTCCTGACTTTGCTGCAGTTTTTTTGCACAGTATGTTAATGTAAGGTTGTGTATAGTGTAGACTTGTGTATTGTGAGTTACACTGTTCTGAATGTTATGTTTTGTGAGTTTTTACTTACTTACTTTTATTACTTACTAATGGTAAAACTGAAGACAAATGCCCACATTATGGACAATCAAGTTTTTGGTTTTGCAAATGTGTTGCAAATCAGATACAGGTCTGATTGTTTTCAGTGCGACCTCAATGTGAACAGTCACATCAGAAGAGTATGTGGGACTACACGGGAACAAAACCTGGCTCTGTGTGACTGAGAATGAACAACCATTATAGTTTGGATTGTGAAAACAAAAAAAAACTATTTTATTTGGTTGAAAATGGTTTTCAACCTGTCAAGGCTTACTGGAATAACTGAGTTAATAGTAGTTGTTCGGTTCCACCAACTGAGATTGTAACTTGCCCATATATTATTTACCACTGTATCACTTCTATACGTACCCACACACACCGGCATACTCCAGTATTGATTGTAACGTGTGACCTACAGGGCTTTAGATACAGGGCTTCTCCTCTTACGTGCGTGTGCGTGTGGTTTTCTGTGAGACTTCAGAGACCCTGTTAAGCTTTGACACAGGCACAGAGGCACGTTATTGATGGTCACTGTAAGGCCCTCAGAGTCACAAACAGCTCAGAAATCAATTCCTTTCCCTGACAAGCCTCTGGCTGCGGCTGAGATGCAGCTAAGCCCTTTCACTGCTTCAAATGTACAGGTTCCCTTAATGGCTTTCACTTACCTACTGACAGTGGGGAAAGGCTTTTAGACATGTGTATTCCTTTCTGCTTTCACCCCCAATTTGATATCAAATTGAATCAAATCAAGAATACTTCCGCTCCCAACGCATTTCTGCATCCGACATTTTTTACAAGGCCAGTGGTGCAATTTCACACAAAGACACAGACTCTCCTCCATCACAGAGATACTAGTCCACTAGGAAGCAGTGAAACGTGCTACGACAAGCAGTAAGTGAATCAATCACATCATTTTGGGTCCTATTTTCGTGATACCATAACAACTAGAGCAGCAAACAAAGCGGCTGTTTGGTGTTTTCCTGACCTTGAAATCACTCATCTGTGTGGTATTTTGGTGCCCAAGGCAGAGCGTGCAGTGCTCAGGCTGGGGGTGGGGGGGGGGAGAAGTGGAGACAGGTAGGAGGTTCATTCAAATGAGGCAGCGCAAAGAGTTGTTGGTATTTTAGTGGAAATAGACGTCTGAGAGCTGCATTCACGTCACTGCATCAGTTGATTTTCTCAACAAAATACTTGGAAAAAAACATGCAGCAATAACACAATAATGCTTAAAACATCAATAAGCTAATTTAACTGAACTCTCACCCGCTAGCAGATGCACTGAAATCAGCATCAATAAACAAATGTTTAATGTGGTTAAAGCTGGAACATCCGTTAATGAGTCTGCATTTATCTGTAAATGAATATGAGATTCTTACAGTATCTGTAGTGTACAGCTACTTTATAGTGTATGAAAACCCTTCACTTCATTAAATCCCTGCAGCCACCATTGTACTAATTAACTATTAAAAACCCACACCATCTGCCTCTGGCCACGGATTTGTGTTGCTGTGTTCACATCGTGCCGCTCTGCACCATCCACACACCATTTCTTAGAGAAGCCCATTCTTCATTTGTAGGGCGGTTTTATGCTTCATTGTGTTTGGCAAAGGTGTTTCAGAGAGATGACACCATTATTGTGACTGGCTGAGCGTGTATTTATTAATCCGCCTCTGATTTATATTCCACTTCACTCACCCTTTGGCACTTTGCACTGTTGTACATGCATGAACCAAAATAGCAGGTGTAGTTGGAGACGCTTACACAGTCTGTGCGCCAAAGATCCACCACCTTGTATCGGTCACTTGTACAAAATGGAGCCTTGTAACAGAATGTAGGCAAGCTGGCTCAACTGGGTGGCCATATGAGGCCTGAGAATGTGATGGGCATTGCAGCTACAGCATTTAACAGTTAAACTTTTTATAAATTATAGTTTATCTTCATCTTCTGTAAAATTTAAATGAAAGCTTCTTTTAATAGAGGCCTATAACTCTAAGATCACATGATTTTTATATTTACTATTTGTAATAGCTGTCTTAATCCTAATGGTCAGTGAGAAAAGCAATTGTCCAGCCACATGAGGTTTGGATATTAAAACGCAGTTGGCCTTTACATCCTGGTGCCATGTTAGAAAAACTAAATAATGAATAAAGTTAAAGAGGTACTCCACCCTTAAACGCGATTTTTTAACTGTATACTTCGTTATGACTATACTGTGACAAAACATCAATTCTGGTGTTAAAAGTGACAAAATCCGCATTTGGTGAGTTCCCAACCTTTTTATCATTGAGTAAACAGGCGACCCCAGACTTTTATTATATGGATATCAACAGTACAGAACAACTGATAAACTGTACAATTAACCCAAACAGTGAATACAAGTTTGTGTAAAATAAGAGATTTGGATGAATTTTGAATTTATTTTTATACAATTCCATGTCTGTACTGTGTATTTTTTATTTTTCAATAATCATACATTCTACCTAAGCAAACACTTTTATTTAGTTTTCTTTACAGAATTAGACAAAATGTAAGATAAAGGCCCACTGTATATATTTTTGAAACTTTTTATATGCCTCTTAAAATCAAGGAGGCCTCAAGA